CTCACCTCCTTCTACAGGTGTGCAGTGGAGAGCATCCTGTGCTCCAGCATCAATGTGTGGCATGGAGGCTGCACAGCTGCAGAAAGAAAAGCTTTGCAGAGAGTGGTGAAGGCTGCACAGAAATCTGTTGGAGTCAGTCTCCCCACCATCACAGACATCTACACCTCCAGATGCAGGAAGAGGGCCACCTGCATCATGAAGGACCCCACCCACCCAGCACATACACTTTTTGCCCCACTCCCCTCAGGAAGGAGGTTAAGGAGCATTAAGTGTAGAACCACTAGACTGAGGAACAGCTTCTACCCTGAGGCTGTTAGACTCATGAATCTCTAACTAGAATAATCACTGTGAAAAACCATATCATGTTGCTGCTGATCTGTTTCATGTTGCTGCTGATCTGTTTCAATGTTGATGTGTTCATGCGTGCACATCTGCTCACAGACTCATGTTCATGTTTGTGGTGATGTTCAATGTTTTATGTTATGAGTGCTTAGTGTATATTTAGTTGATGTTTTTCTTAGTTCATATCTTAGATGTTATTACTGTTTTTCTTATACATTTTATTGTTGGATGTAACTGGGACCCTGTGTACATAATTTCGCTCCACCACATGTACCACATGAGGTGCGAATGACAATAAAGAAACTCTGACTCTGACTCTGACTCTGACATGGCACCCCAGACCATCACTGACTGTGGGTGCTTCACACTGGACTTCTGGCATTTTGGCATTTCCTTCTCCCCAGTCTTCCTCCAGACTCTGGCACCTTGATTTCCAAATGGCATACAAAATTTGCTTTCGTCCGAAAAAAGTACTTTGGACCACTGAGCAACAGTCCAGTGCTGCTTCTCTGTAGCCCAGGTCAGGCGCTTCTGCCACTGTTTCTGGTTCAAAAGTGGCTTGACCTGGGGAATGCGGCACCTGTAGCCCATTTCCTGCACACGCCTGTGCACGGTGGCTCTGGATGTTTCTTCTCCAGACTCAGTCCACTGCTTCCGCAGGTCTTCCAAGGTCTGAAATCGGCCCTTCTCCACAATCCTCCTCAGGGTCCGGTCACCTCTTCTCGTTGTGCAGCGTTTTCTGCCACACTTTTCCCTTCCCACAGACTTCCCACTGAGGTGCCTTGATACAGCACTCTGGGAACAGCCTATTCGTTCAGCAGTTTCTTTCTGTGTCTTACCCTCTTGCTTGAGGGTGTCAATGATGGCCTTCTGGACAGCAGTCAGGTCGGCAGTCTTACCCATGATTGCGGTTTTGAGTAATGAACAAGGCTGGAAGTTTTTAAAAGCCTCAATAATCTTTTGCAGGTGTTTAGAGTTACGTCATTGATTCAGATGGTTAGGTTAATAGCTTGTTTAGAGAACCTTTTCATGATATGCTAATTTTTTGGAACAGGCATTTTGGGTTTTCATGAGCTGTATGCCATAATCATCAGTATTAAAACAATTAAAGACCTGAAATATTTCAGTTGGTGTGCAATGAATATGAAATATATGAAAGTTTCATTTTTATCATTACATTATGGAAAAAAAATGACCTTTATCACAATATGCTAATTTTTTGAGAAGGACCTGTAGTACAAAACACTGCAGCTACAGTTCTTACAAAATCCCATAAATATCAGCATATCACTCCAGTTCTGTCCTCATTGCAGTGGCTCCCTGTGTTTTTTAGAATTGATTTTAAAATGTTATTGTTTGTTTTTAAATCCCTGAACAGTCTTTCGCCATCATATCTATCTGAGCTTCTTACACCCTACATCCCCTCTTGCAATCTCAGATCCTTAAATCTGATCTTACTTTCCACTCCCAGAACTCGACTGGTGACAGGAGGGCTTTTATGGTCAGGGCTCCTAATTTGTGGAATGCTCTTCCTGTAAATATTAGACAGGCCTCTTCATTGTCTTCTTTTAAATCATTGGTTAAAACTTACTTATTTAATAAGGCTTTTAATACTTGAATTTCTTCCCTTTTTATGTTATTTTAATTAATTTGGTATACTTTTGTGTTTCTGATGTCATTTATGATGTTTTAATTGATTAATGTGAAGCACTTTGTAACATTTGTTTGAAAGGTGCTATACAAATAAATTATTATTATTATTATTACCTGGCCCCTCTTTCTTATTTCATGTTGACAATTTTTTGTTTTATCGATGAGTGTGCTCATTGATCCTGACTTCCTCATTTTGATTAAAAAAAAAAAAGTCAGCATAAATTGTTTTATTCATTTCTGTTTATAGGTCAAAGTGCTTTATATAACACTCCTGAGTTAAAATGCTGCCGATCAATTTGAATTTATTATTATTTATTGATTATATTTAATTTTATTTATCAGTTTCAAATGGTCAAAAATGTTTACAGTTTAAAAAATGATTTTTTTTCAGGCAAATTGATGGACTTTTAAAGTTGTTTCTGTTACAGACTAAAAAAACAATGTTAATAAAGTTATTCTTTGTTGTAAGTTGATCTATATATTTTTTTCCCTTTAATGTTAATAAGGACACAATGTTATGCAGAGGTGTACTTATAACAATTTTAAAGACACTATTTACAGTCGCGGAGGAGAGTTTGTGGGGGAGGGCACAAAATATTTACTTCTTCCTGGGGAGGCATAACAGAAAACTGAACTAAGGTGTGTCTTGTAATCAGCACCACAGCTGTTATCAATCTATAATCATTCAGTCTCCCTATTTAAAGGGTGAAAAGTAGTCACAGGGCTGTTTGGTATCATGGTGTGTGCCACACTGAACATGGATACGAAAAAGACAAGGGCAAAGTTGTCTCAGGAACTTAGAAAGACACTTAACATGCAAAAGTTGCCAAAGTTGATAATTTAATTCAGCATCTAGAAAAATGCAGCACCAGTCTGCAAAATAAATGCAGACTGACGAGCCCCATTTCAGGCTTCAAACATAAAGATCTAAAATTTTAATTTTTTGTGAAGAATCAACAAGTGGGACACAATCGTGAAGTGGAATGGAATTTATTGGATGTGTCAAACTTTTTTAACAAATAAAAAACTGAAAAGTGGGGCATGCAATATTATTGGGCCCCTTTACTTTCAGTGCAGCAAACTCACTCCAGAAGTTCAGTGAGGATCTATGAATGATCCAATGTTGTCCCAAATGACTGATTATGATAAATAGAATCCACCTGTGTGTAATCAAGTCTCCGTATAAATGCACCTGCTCTGCGATAGTCTCAGGGTTCTGTTCAAAGCGCAGAGAGCATCATGAAGACCAAGGAACACACCAGGCAGGTCCGAGATACTCTTGTGCAGAAGTTTAAAGCGGATTTGGATACAAAAAGATTTCCCAAGCTTTAAACATCCCAAGGAGCACTGTGCAAGCAATTATACTGAAATGGAAGGAGTATCAGACCACTGCAAATCCACCAAGACCCAGCTGACCCTCTAAACTTTCATCTCGAACAAGGAGAAGACTGATCAGAGATGCAGCCAAGAGGCCCATGATCACTCTGGATGAACTGCAGAGATCTACAGCTGAGGTGGGAGAGTCTGTCCATAGGACAACAATCAGTCGTACACTGCACAAATCTGGCCTTTATGGAAGAGTGGCAAAAAGAAAGCCATTTCTCAAAGATATCCATAAAAAATGTTGTTTAAAGTTTGCCACAAGCCACCTGGGAGACACACCAAACATGTGGAAGAAGGTGCTCTGGTCAGATGAAACCAAAATCCAACTGTTTGGCCGCAATGCAAAACGATATGTTTGGTGTAAAAGCAACACAGCTCATCACCCTGAACACACCATCCCCACTGTCAAACATGGTGGTGGCAGCATCATGGTTTGGGCCTGCTTTTCATCAACGGGGACAGGGAAGATGGTCAGAATTGATGGGAAGATGGATGGGGCCAAATAAAGGACCATTCTGGAAGAAAACCTGCTCGAGTCTGATAGAGACCTGAGACTGGGACAGATTTATCTTCCAACAAGACAATGATCCAAAACATAAAGCCAAATCTACAATGGAATGGTTCACAAATAAACATATCCAGGTGTTGGAATGGCCAAGTCAAAGTCCAGACCTGAATCCAATCGAGAATCTGTGGAAAGAGCTGAAGACTGCTGTTCACAAACGCTCTCCATCCAACCTCACTGAGCTCGAGCTGTTTTGCAAGGACGAATGGGCAAGAATTTCAGTCTCTCCATGTGCAAGACTGATAGTGACATACCCCAAGAGACTTGCAGCTGGAACTGCAGCAAAAGGCGGAGCTACAAAGTATTAACGTAAGGGGGCCGAATAATATTGCACGCCCCACTTTTCAGTTTTTTATTTGTTAAAAAGTTTGACACATCCAATAAATTTCATTCCACTTCACGATTGTGTCCCAATTGTTGTTGATTCTTCACAAAAAATTTAAATTTTATATCTTTATGTTTGAAGCCTGAAATGTGGCAAAAGGTTGAAAAGTTCAAGGGAGACGAATACTTTCGCAAAGCACTGTACATTATTGTGAGACTATCACACTTAACTTCTAAATTGTTGTGAAAATATCTCAGCATTTAAAACCCCCAACAGTCATACCTATGAGTAAGACAACTATTTAAGACATTTATTTTCATTATTTTTTTAGCTTTACAAAAATAAATAAACTGGTTGTTGGGAGAACTCCTTCCACCAAAGTCACATTTTTTAATTTTCGGAGAATAAACTTTCTTCAACTGAAAGAGAAGGTTTTTTTTTATTATTTTACTAAATTACAACATTTTTTTTTTTTTTAAGTTACTTGTTTACTTTTTGGTCAAAAACAAAAGCATGCGTTTGTTCAAGTTCTTTCTGTTTGTTGAATATATTATTTTATCTTTTAGAAATGCAACTCTAATTTTCTGTACATATTGTTGAACATTTTATACACCTCCAGACTTGAAACACACTCAAACCAAACTCAAGACTTTTAAGGCTCTGTGGGAAACCTAGGTGATGCATTAATGACTCAAAGTGCAGTAGAGGGTGAATTATTAAACACAGTCTGACCGTGTATACATCTTGCTATCTTCATGAACCTCCATCTCTGAACTCTTGAATTCATTGAGCTCTTTGCGAATGGCAGCCTAACAGGAAGAGACAGACAATTAGAATCAAAGAAACAAAAGAAATGTGGGATAAAACATTTAAGTATTCCAAACAATCCTTTTTTTTAGAATCATGTGCTTTTAGCCATGCCACATCACTGCCTGCTATTTCAACATAAACCCATTGGCCACTTTATTAGGTCCACCAGCCACTAGCATGGTCCTGCTGCTCAGAGTGGTGTCTGGTTTTAAGATTAAGACTGGGCAGTTTAAGATTAAAATCCACTCTGAGCACCACTCTGAGCAGCAGGACCACGCTATCCTTCCACAGAGCAACGGTGTCAACTCTTGAAACTGTGCCTGCAGTCAACCTACTTCACATATGGGGAGCAATATTATAGGCAGAAACATGGGTGTGCTATGGGGTCTCCAAATTCTCCTATTGTTGCCAACCTGTACATGGAGGAGGTAGAAAAGAGAGCCTTGACATCCTTTTCAGGGACACCACCAAGTCATTGGTTCAGGTATGTTGACGACACCTGGGTTAAAATTAAATCTCAGGAAGTCCAACATTTTACTGACCACATCAACTCTGTGGATAAATTTTATTTGGCCAACATCAATTTTTTTTATATTAATTAATTTATTTTATTTTTATTTTATTTATTTTTCTAGCTAAGCACTTCTGGATAGATGCAAACTGTATTTCGTTGCTTTGTACCTGTGCCATGTGCAATGACAATAAAGTTGATTTCTATTCTATTCTATTCTAAATACATCAAGTTCACACGAGAAGATGTAAAAAATAGCAGGTTGGCTTTCTTGGACTGTGAGGTCTCAGTCTCTGATAGAGGACATTTGCAAACTGAGGTGTACCGCAAACCCACCCACACAGACCAGTATTTGCAGTTTGACTCCCATCACCCTTTGGAGCACAAGTTAGGAGTCATCAGGACTCTGTATCACAGAGCAGACAGCGTCCCCACTAACTCAGGAGCCAGGCAGAAGGAGAAATCCCACACAAGACAGGCTCTAGAGCAATGTGGATATCCCAACTGGGCCTTCCTGAAAGCAGAGAAGAATCCCAAACAGGACTCCAGTTAGCCATTAGGTGAAAAGGAGGAACCCAGACCCAGACCAGTGGTCATCCCGTATGTTGAGGGAGTATCAGAGAAACTGAGACGTTTATTTTCTAAACATAACGTCCCAGTGGCTTTTAAACCCCAAAATACATTACGGCAAAGACTGGTTCATCCCAAAGATCCAGTCCCCCGGCACAAACAGAGTAATGTTGTGTATGCTGTTCAGTGTCAGGAGGGTGATCAGTCTTACATCGGGGAAACTAAACAGCCACTGGCCAAAAGGATGGCCCAGCACAGAAGATCAACATCATCCGGCCAGGACTCTGCGGTCTACACTCATCTCCAGGCCAGCGGTCACTCTTTCAGGGATGAAGATGTTCACATCCTGGACAGAGAGGAACGATGGTTTGAGAGAAGAGTAAAGGAGGCCATCTTTGTGAAAAGAAACCGTCCATCATTAAACAGGGGTGGAGGCCTCCGTGTTCAATTGTCCCCCTCTTACAATGCTGTGATTGCTAGTATCACTCAGCCCCCTGTGAATAGCAAAAAGCCATCAGGGTGCTAATGATCCATCGTTAGGCTGATGGTCCTTCTTGATCATGTGATCAGTTGGTTTGGGCTGTCCACTGCGAGAGGGTGCTATTTATAAGACTGAGCTGAATATCTATATTGCGTTACATTTTTTATATTTTTAGTGTGTGTTTTTCTTAAGCATGTTTCTGCACTGAAAAAAGGAGTGGCTCTTAATTTCATTATATTTGCATATAATGACAATAAAGGCATTCTGATTCTGAATACAGCACTTCAGACTGAGGAAGTCTTTCGGATGAAAGATGAAACGTTTCTACAATTTTTTTTTGTTTTGTCTTTTGAATGTCCAGAGGACCAGATTTAACTTTTTTAGATCTTCTAAATTATTCATACCAGCCTATCAGTCACTAACAGCTATGCTACGTTTAAAATCACTGAAATCCTCTTTACTGAACGTCAGCATCTTCTTCACCACATCTAGCTGCCGAAAAGGACTACGTTGTTGCCATGTGATTGAACAGGGGGACCTAATAAAGTGTGTGGCAAAGAGTATTTATGGTCTGTAGAGTCACTCAGCTCATTGGTGAACAACAGTATGGTTCACAGTGTGTGCTTGTGTCACCTTGTCAGCAGGTGTGAGTTTGGTCCATGGCTTGTCTGCGCGCCGGTCGTAGTCTTCAGCATGTGTGCACTCGACATACTCGTGGAAACGTAGGATCTTCCTGGCCCGCAGCTCGGCCACTGTTGGTCTCTGAGACAACTGCAGAAAGAATGAGACAAGGCGTTAGTACTAAAATATTAGAACAACTGTTAAAATGTTCATGATGGTTAGTTTGTAGCGTCTTGACCTTTCTGGTGAGCCTGCGTTTGATCTCTGATCTCTCCATCAGCCGATCCACTTCGTTCTTGGCTGCAGGAGAAGAAGACATTTTTTTCATTCAACCTTTATTTAAACATTCAATGAGAGAGATGGAATACAGAGCAGCCAGTTAGTTAGGTTCACCTGAGCTGCTGTATCAGAAGACTTTAATCAGTGGTGCCAGACTCTGGACAAGGTGCCATATTGTTCTCAGACTGCGGAGTCATTGTTAGACAGAGTGAGGTGCAACAGTGAGGTATGACTCCTAGATCAAAATGTGCTGACAGATTCTGAGCTCCGTTATGTTCGTGTTTGGATTATTCACTCAGTCACTGGTTATACTGCTCACTAAGTGTTTGCTAGTTTAATGATACACCACAGGTCTGCCTGAACCAAGAATCTCTAATGTGACTGTTGTTTGTTAGATATACTCATTCGGGTGAGAGAACAGTTAGAAAACACTGGTTTCAGCTTCACAGATGGCAACAGAAACAACTTCAATTAACTGCTTCATCTAACTTTTCTGATCACAGATGAATCAAAGCAGAAACTGCATCAATGAGGATTTTATTCCTCATAAATCTTATGGAAACTTTCATTAAAGCATTTAGACCATAAAACAACATGTGGTAAAACGTCAACCTCAGAAACAGTCTGAACTTGTCTAAATACAAACAAGTTCTGATTTAGGATCACTCCTGCAGGTAAATATCTATTTTTAGTATTTATTTCACAGGTTAAAGCCACACAAACTTGTTCAGAAAGTATTTTGATGTCCTTTTTACTCTTTGCAATTGTATGTTGCAGACTAATGCTACAATTGTTTAAAAAAAAAACTTTTTTTCAATAACCTCCACCCAGTACTCCATATTGACAAAACAGAATTTTATATAGGTTTACAAATGTCCCAAAACTGTGAATATAGGTGGATCGCAGACCAGAATCTGGAAGTTGAAGGTAGAGTGTGAACAGCTTACCCTTGTAAATGAACAGAGCATTGGTGTTATTAAGAAATAAACACACACCTCCGCTTATGTTTTTCAGGTCAATAGTTCACTTGCATAATTCTTATCTTGCTGCAGTATTTACAAATATTTATTTTTAAAAACTTTTAGACATAATTAGTTATTTTGTAGGGATGCACTGATCCACATTTTTAAATTTCAGATCCAATCCCAATACCTATATCTGGATATCAGCTGATATTGATATCCAGTTCCGATATCATCATCATCATCATTAATTTAAAGTGAGGCTGTAATAATCTCCTCTCAAGTACAATTTGTACAAATGTATGCATGCATGGCCAAAAAGGCAACTTGAGGTAAGTTTTATTAATGTTGGATAAGTTTCGAAGTTAGAATTAAATCCTGCTAACACAAAACATGTTTTTTTATTCCTAGCTTTAAAGTGAATATTAAAGTGATTACTTTAAGTGATTGTTTGCTTAAAGTTATTTTATACATTTTTTAAAAATAAGGGGTAGATATAATTTTTTTCTTCTTTCTGCACTCTTTTCATTCAATGTTTTCCTTTTGATTAATTTGTTTTGTTTGTTTTGTCTCTTTTAAATGAATGAATAAATTAATTAAATAAAAATATTAAATGACTTTAAACATCTGCTAAGTTCATGGCATAAACCAACACAGACATGTTCCTGTTTTTAGTATTTTACATCGCTTTATAATGCATCTGTTTTTGTTTCTTTATATATATATATATATATATATATATATATACACACACACATATATATATATATAATTTTCTTGTGATATTCTATTCATATGCTTTTTTTATGATTATCTACTGTTGTACTGATAAATATCTCCTGGAGGGTAAACTATATCTTGGCTGCAAGTATCAAGCTGCAAAATCCTTTGTTTTATACAGCTGATAGCGGTTGGTCATTAATTATGATGAAGTTTAGCAGCTTCTCGGTAAACATTTGAGCTCCGTGGCTTCAGTGGTGTGTTTTTCTTGTTCAGTCCAGGGCGGGCAGTCTGATTTCGGTCAGCCGTGCTCAGTCTGCCCTTCCTCCGAGACAGGCAGACTGAGCGGGGCAGATTGGGCACGGGTTCAGCGTGAGGAGCAGACCGCTGAAGCCAAGGAGCTTGAATGTTCAACGTAAAACTAACTTTACCGTGGTTTAATGTGACGTTATGGCTCTGCAGACAGTCTTGTTTTGTGGTGTTTCTAGTGTAAAATACTTCCACACAGCGGACATGTTTTGATGAAAAGTTGATTAGCTGTTATCCACAGTGCTACTACTCAGTTCTCACATTGTAGCTGCCTGCAAACTATGAAATGGATTTCCTGAATGTGAGGCGGGTCTTACACGGTTAGACACGCCTCCGTTCAGGAAATCCATTCCATAGTGTGAAGCCAACATGTAGAGCAGCTGGTAGGGAATCACAAGATGTTTCAACAGATACAGACATGCATGATGGATCAGAAATCTCTGCAAATTGGATCGGAAAAATACGATACGTAAATTATGCTGGTATCGAAGGCCGATACAGATACCAGATCAGATTGGCCCCCAACAATGAAAGAAGGTCAGTCAGTTTGGTTATGGGTTTAAATCAAGACTCTGGCTGGTCCACTCCAGAACAATCAGTGTTAGCTCTAAGCAATTCTTCTCTTATCTTCACTGTGGTTTGGGTTCTTCAGCCGAGTCTGTGTGAGACCGGTGAAACAGGTTTTCTTGGATATCTCTGTATTTTTCTCCATTCAGCTCTCCATCAAACCTGAACAGCCTCTTAGTTCCTGTTGCTGAAAAACAGGCACACAGCATGGTGCTTTCACCACCATGCTTCACTATAGGTGTACTGTTATCAATACAGGTTAAATACACTGTGTATGTTAACTCAGATCAACAGCAAGCCAAACTCAATTTTCATGAGCCAGGAAACCGAGTGTCTTGCTCCTTTATTACGGTCTTGACAGCTTACAATTCTTTACAATTGTTGCTTGAAAAACTCAATGAAAGGGGTTGAGTGAAACTAGAAAATAAACAGAAAATAAAATATGCATTAGCTTTTTGTTATGTGAAATAAATGAACCTAGCAAAATGCTAGTGCCAGAAAACATTAACAAGAGTTAACCTTAGTAACTAAATGCCCATCTTTTTAACATGAATTATTACAGATGAATGATATGTATTTTTTTTTATCACCAACTTATTATGAACTATTTTTAATCTTTAGCCTTTGGCAGAACACTCCCCGCCTGGCATTACTAATGCCACTACTCTTTATCAGTCACTTCATTCTCTAAGAGCATAACAACATCTGAGATAGGGCGCACATAAGTCTTTGAGATGCCCTGAGATGATGCGCTCACTTCCACCTTTCTGACTTTTCCGTTGCTGCTTGGAAAAGTGGTTGTGATGATGCTCATTGTCCATTCATTTCTGTGTGTTTGATTTAGCTTCAGCAACACAATGTCTCCTAGCTGAAGATTGCGGTGCATTCTGTGCCACTTGCGTCTGGACTGGATGGTGTTGAGATATTCGTTCTTCCAGTGACTCCAAAACTCATTGGAGCGCCTGCACTTGTTTCCAATGGCTTTTGAGCATGTCTTTCCTACAAAATTCTCCTGGTGGAGAAGAAACGTGCTGCTTTTGGGTCAATATCATTGCAGGACATAGTAGGGATGGTGAGTAAGTATCTGTCGAGATTGGAACCAAAGGCCTTGCATTGATTATAGATGATACCTCAGTCATTAGGGTACAAAGAACTTCATGTGTCAGATGGGTGTGTTTGTTTAGCAAGAGCATAGAATCCAATATTCTGCGAGTTACTCCCATCATCCTTTCCCAGATGCCCCCCATGTGAGAGGCATGTGGGGGATTGAACTCCCATGTGCAACCGTTGGCATGAAGATAATTGACAATGTTGGGGGGGTTCTGGCTTGGTAGTGTCAAGCCAAGCTCCACACTTGCTGCAATGAAGTTGGTTCCCCTATCGGATTGCATTTGTTTTGCTGGGCCTTGTATTGCAAAGAATCTGTGTATTGCGTTTATGCAGTTGCAAGAGTCCATGGATTCAATGACTTCGATATGTACACCTCTTGTGGTCATACATGTAAAAAGTATTGCCCACCTTTTACTTTGTGCTGCTCCACCTCATGTGCGTTGAGTGATCACTGACCAGAGGCCAAACACATCCAACCCAACATATGAAAATGGAGGGCATGTGTTTAGTCTCTCAGGCGGGAGATGTGCCATTTTTTGAGTCTCTAGTTTTCCCCTGAGTTTCTTGCACGTTATACAATGATGGATAATAGATGACACCCGTCTTTTGCATCCTACAATCCACACTCCGGCTTGCCTAACCGCACTTTCTATGAACTGTCTTCCTTGATGTACAACCTTAGCATGATAGTGCTGGACAAGCAACTTTGACACGTGATGGTTGTCTGGGAAAATGATTGGATTCTTGGATGCTGTGTCCAATGAAGCATGTTTGAGGCGACCTCCAACTTTGATGAGGCCTTCATCCATATGAGGCCTTCATCCATATAGGGATCAAGAGTTCCGATGGAGCTTGAGCTGTAGGCAGCTTGACTGGCTTGGAGAGCAGCGTATTTGTCAGAAAAGGCATCCTTCTGAACAGACTGGAGAATGACATTACTTGTAGCATCCAGCTCCCTTTAAGTATGTGGCTTTCTACATTCATGCCAGCCCCTGCATGAAGGATTTGACCAGTTGCTTGATGAGTGAGAACAAGCTTGGTGAATTAAGAAGGCAATGGCACGTACTAGTGATTTCCAGTTTGAGAAGTGTTGGAAGCGTTCTGGTGTGAGTCCATTCTCCTTAACCTGCGTAGCGAAAGTAGCAACTTGTCGGATTTCAGCGTCCACTTCAGGTTCGATCAACTCAAACAACTCATGTGTCTCTGGTTCAGGTAGTTTGTAAAGGAAGTCTGGTCCCTTAAACCACACGGGTGTCCATGAGCTGGGATGCAGGTATTGACCTGGTTACTAGATCGGCTGGGTTTTGATCTGATGGGACATAATGTCACTGTTCAGGGGATGTAAACTGGCGT